GGACTGATCGCTGTTGATCTGGGTAGGAAGTCATCTTTCAAAGACGCAATAGAGTACAATGGTCAAACGCACTGGCTATAGCACCCTGTGGCTTGGGTTCCAATGCTGCCTCTGTGTTTCCTTGAATAAATCAATCAGATTTTCTAGGCCCAGTGTTATGGTTTGTGTCTGGGTGTCCCCCCAAGGATATATGCAGTCATGGGTAGGGCTTTTAGATCTTATGATTGATTCATGGTCCAGTGTTGGAATTATGGATGGGAATGCCACACCTGCCCTGGGGTGGGTAGTTTGCATTACAGTGTAGGGGAGGGAAAGAGGCTACTGCCCTCTGCTCCTCCCCTTGTGTTCTTGCTGCTTTTGCTATCTTTCACCAATACGAACTAAAGCCCTCTGCCATGTGCCACTCTTGGAGCCAGCCAAGTATGGACTGAAACCTCCACAAACTGTGAGCTAAATAAACCTTTCCTTCCTTAATTCTGGGTGTCAGGTATTTTGTCTCAGCATCGAGAGAAAAGTAACCAAGACACCCAGTCTCCTCATCAGTAGAACTGGACAATAGTAGCACTTGAATTTTCTAAGGCTGTTTTGATAATCTGATGAGTTAATATGAATAAAGTTCCTAGGGCAGAACCTGACATATAGTAGCATTTAAAAAAAGTAACCATTCTAATTATTGGGAGTGCACAGCACTTTAGAGAACTACAGCTTTTACCAGCTTACTCTCTCCAAGTTAATCTGATTCCTAGAATGCTGATACTTATCTAAAAATCTAGACAGGCATTCCTTTCCTATTATTAACAAGGCAAATAAAAGTCACAATTTTAATGGAGATAAATTGCTTTGATTTTCTTTGGCAGTATAATTTACTTTTATTAAGAGCAAAAGATAGGAAAGAAAAATTTTCTCAAATTATTTCATCAGCTTCTTAATAGTTGTATAGGGTTGTAATTATGATCAGCACAGTTTTGGTTAGTGTTTTAATGTGTTGTCTTTTTTCCCATTATCATTTTTTAATCCTATTCAATACTTAAGCAATTCAAAGCACATTTTAAAAATATATACTAAGTAGATTTATTCTATAAAGCACCTCCATAAAGTGGAGCAAAGATGAATGAGACCATATCTGCCCTTCGATGCTTTATGATAAATTAGGAGCGTAAGAGAGATTATAAACTAAAAAAGTAAAAGCACAGTCAATGAATTCAATGTTTCCAAGTCTAGATGCCAGAAAAAGCCACAGCTATGACGGCAAGAAGAGCTGGCGTGGGCAGGCAGCTGGGCTAGAAAGCACTTGTACTTAGAACTTCTGCAATTGCTCTTCCTTCACTTCTGCATCCATTCACAGCATGCAGCAGTGCCTGCCTGTCTCAATCAAAAGCTCTTTGAGGGTGGGAAGCTTGCTTGCTGATGTGCTGCTGAATACAGAGCAGCGCTGATACACAGACCATGAGAATGCATTTGGAGTTAACACGCTATGCTCAGGCAGTGCTACCTGTTGGGTTGGTGTTTGAGCATAAGCCGGAGCCTGCGCCAGTGTGAAAGACGTGGGTGTTAAGAAGAAAGGCATCCCCTGGCAAGAGAGATGGGCTAAGGCATGTTGCGACCTGCCATTTGAGGTTTATGGGAGACAAAAAAGGGACTACAGAGGCAAAAGAGAGAAAAATCAAAGAAACCAAAATAATGACAACTTTTATAAATCAAGGAAGGGGCAAAAGCTGGGGAGGCTGAAAGGAATGAAAATGAGACAGTGACGTGGAATTTAACAATCAGGAGGGTAGGAGAAACCTTGGTGGACACTGACTGCAGAGACTGGTTACAGGGGGAGCAGGGTCCAGGGACAGAGTGGAAGCAGCAGGTGCAGGTGGGCTTGGGAGGCACTTGGTCTCAGGGAAACAGACTATGCAGAAGTCCAGGGGAGCACTGAGTGTAGATGAGGTGTCCACATACTTAGCTTTGGGGTGACACAGGCTTAGTTAAAGGTCAGGAGGAAGTACTTTCACCTTCCTCTAAAAACAAAACACAACAGGAAAAGGTTATTACATAGGAAAAAAAAGTTGCACATGACATTTCAAGTTCTAAAGATAGGGAGTGGACAGACCCTTAGCTTAGGTGGGACTGAAAAAGGGTCCTCTCATCCAGGAAAAGAAAAGCAGTAAGAATAGCTGTCTGGGGTAGCACAGTCATGTGACATTGTGACTATGTGACATAGTTCATGTTAATACACTTTATAATGTTCATGCAAAAATAAAATAGCCCCACAGTGCGTTTCTCAAAATGTGTCCCATCATTAAGTGACATGTGACTTAGAAGGAAAAGAGGGCCACTCTCTTGACCTACAATTTAAATAAGGACAGCCTAAATCAGAGTCAGAGAATTTAGGCAATTTCCTGCTTTAAAACAATGCTAAATGGCTGAAAATTGGCGCACAACCCCAGTTTGCCTCATAGGACAAGATGTCTTCAGGCTTAGAAAGAGCATTCCAAAGTATAACTGACTCAAGGACACAAGCTGGCCTCCTCAGTCACAAACGTGTTATTACAAGAGCATTAATGAATTAGTGCTGCATCTATGACTAACTGAAAATTCCTACCACAAAAGCCCATCTAGGAAAAGTGGTACAGTATTAATTACTGTGCAGTGAAAGGTAGTAAGATTCATCTGTGTGATATCAAGTGTGCATATCACGCCAGGAGTTCAAGAGAAGAACAGACATAGAGGAGTTGCTTTTCTTAAAGGAAGTTTACCTTCTTTCATACTTTTGGATGTGGTGTTTTTCCAAAGGTGAGCTCCAGAGACTGCCCAGCTGCATATAGCTTTGATAATATTTAAATGGCTCAGTTTCATTGTTTGAAATCATTTTTTTCCTTCAATGATTTTTGAAATCACTTCTTAAAAAGAAAACTTTTCTCTTGATTATTTCAAACTGTGTCAGTTTTTCTCTAGTGTGATATCTTTCTTCAACATGAAGAAAACACATTATACACCATTTTGTGTCTTTTTTTAAGCTTCACTAGTGCTTTTTACATATTTCAGAAGGAATTATACCCTTAAAATAAAAAGAGAAATAAGACGACAATCACTTATAATTAAAAGAAAGTAACAAGGGTGCTAGGGATTTAGCTCAGCGGCACAGTGCCTACCTGGCAAGTGCAAGGTCGTGATTTTGATTCCCGGTACCGGAAAAAAAAAAAAACAACAACAACAAAAAAAGAAAGTGACAGGAAAGAGGAAAGGGAAGTTATTGTGTTTTTTTAAATGGATATCTTCTAAGAGAAAAAAGTAAATAGTCGAGTCAGGTGAAGGATGAGAGACACACCAAAGAGGGTTCCGTCCTCTGTTTTTATCGCCTTCTTAATGCTACTGTCTGCATCCCTACTTCCATCATGGTAACCACGGTAATTGAAAGGAAAAGCGTCTCCAGCTACTTAGGAAAATGGGAAAGAAAGACACTCAGGAAGTCCAATATGGTTCCATCTGCACCTGAAGAACAGGAAGGAACAAGAGGTCTACTGGAGACTAAAAGGAGTCAAGGGTCTCCCTGAGGACTCACAGCAGACTCTGGCACTAAAGCACCGTACAATTCAGTTCACTCAGCTCCCCAATTTTGCAGATGGGGAAACCAAGGCCCAGCAGCTGAATCCAATTTGATCAAGGTCATCACGCCTCGGTGGTGTGGCACTCTGTCCACCAAGTCCCACTGCGCCCCAGTCCAGGAAGCCACCCAGGCATTGATGAGAATCTCCTGCCAAACTCTCATTACTGTCCCCTCAGCCAAGTCTCTGTTCTTTTTGTGTGTGTTTCTCTATTATGGATATTTTCTAATACCCACAAGTACAGAGATGAGAAGAACCTCCCTCCTGTACCTATTATTAAGCTTCAGCATTTACCAACTCATGGCCAATCTTCTTTCTTCTGTATATTTTTACCCACCCCGCCCCTCCTCCAGGATAATTATGAAGGAAATCTCAGTTCTCATTATTTACTGTTAAATAGCAAATAACCAAAGAAATTATATAACTGCCAGTGCATAGGAGGCAGTTTTTTTCCAGGGGGGATTGCTGTCCCTATTGCACACCCTTGTGCTGTGTACACTATTTTCTGTTTTATTTCACAGCTCTAGGACTAGTAGTCGGTCTTACCTCAGTGCTGACCAACAAGGTGTGGTCTGTGACCTTCCACATGTCCTGGTGCTATTAGACTGTGGTACATGAGGAATTTTGATGAACACCTTGTTTCAGACAGTAAGCATGGAGAAAGCCAGACTTACATCAAGAGATCAATGCTCTTCTTCCTTAAACAAAACACCACTGACATCTCACATTTATTTAAATTGGGCTTTGATTTGGCCTGAGATTTAAAGCCCATTTCCTCCATGGACCCATAAGAAAGGCCCTAAATAATGTAATTCTTAGGTTTAATAAATCCACAAATTAAATCAACAGTGAAAAATTTTCAAGTCAATGGGTTATGGTTAGCTTAAGTCAGTCACCCACTTATCAAACCCAAGGACATGATGGAAAGTTACAGTTAAACAATACACACTGCCACATTTTTCTTTCATACAGCCATTTAAATCTTGTTCATGAAAAAAAATTTTTTTAAAGACATTTAAAATGATTTAATTAAAGGTAAGACTGCCAGAACCAGGCAGACAGATATGTAACTGTGTATATGGAAAATGGATGATTGCCACCACAATTATGTTGACTTATAGCATTTCCTCTCTAATTTTCTATTTTATGTCTTTCTCCTTACATAGTAAAAATTTTTACATGAATTTACAAATGTATATTTTAGAACAAGACTATATTTGAAAATCAAAATCAGTACAAAAAATAGGGCAAATCACAACCCTTTAACTGTTTCACCCTTAAATGAAATAACTTCATTTCAAATATAAATTAATTTTTTCCATAAAACCCCTGCAAAATATAATTTTCTACCTTTTGAAAAAATTTAACCATGTATCCTCTCTTGCCACAGAGTTTTGAGTCTCATACCTGCTGAGGTTTCTCTAAATTTGTCACTGGTCTTCTTTTTCCTCCATTTCCAAGGCTTGAAGATTTTACCGATAGTGGACAGTTTGCCCTTTCTCTTGAAGGGCGGCGTCTGGGAACCTGTCGGGGGGCCATCTGAGTTTGCTATGGAAGCTCTGTCCAGTCCGTCAACTGTATAAAGAAAAACCAAGTCAGACAAAGGCTGCAATAAAAGTTTGAAACAACATCTGTCCCCTCCTGGACTGTCAACAGCAAGCATGCCTACTCTAATTGGAATCGCACATAGTTTACTTTGTCCCCTTTTGCAGTTTACTCTGTCCCACTCAGTGACATCAATCGGTCAATCAATCAGTCAAACAATCAATCCATCAGACACTATAGACTCCTTAGTTAATCAGTTTGGGGAAATCAAAAAGAAAAAGAGACTTACATAATAGGTATGGACAGACACATAAAAAAATACAGCTAAATGCATCTATAACTACATTGGTATTTTGTGCAGGAATAGCATTTTCTAAGTATCCCTGAAATAGGATGTCCCTCTGGAGGCTAGCTTGGCAGTCTCAGTAATGAATATCACAGTTATGGTGTGCTTAAAGCCATGGTTTCTCCTTTACAAAATAAAATTTGGTGCCAGGAAGCTAAAGTCTATTTTTAAAATGCTAAAACTATCTTTTGCTTCTGTTACAAGGAAGTTTCAGCTGCCAATAAACTGATAGCTATCACTGACAAGAAGAAATATGTGCAAAGTGTGGATATCCTGTGTGAAAAAACAAATCTTCCAGCCAGGCACCATAACACGCTCCTCTAATTCCAGCCACTCTGCAGCTGATTGCAAGTTTGAGGCCACCTGGGTAACTTAGTGACACAATTAAAATTGAAAGGGGTGGGGGTGGACACATAGCTTATAGCTGAATGTCTTGGAGTTCAGTCCCTAGGACCACAGACAAGGAAAAAACTAACAAAAAAATCTTTGTATGCCTTCATCATTTTATTAATCATAAAAAGGCATGAAATCTTAAGTTCCTTTGCACTAAATTCTAAACAGAAAAGAGACAGCAATGACATTTTATTCTAAATACCAAATTTTCATGGCAGTGAACTGGAAGCAGCACAAAATGGATAAATTATGGTGCTATTCATTCAATTTAAATAACACTTGGCAATTAAAAAAGCAGATGGAGATATATGCAATAAGGTAAAATACAGCAAAATATTAAGTGTTGAATCTAGATGTAGATTTGTTTACAGGGTGCAATATTTTTATCTTCTCTATTTTTGAAAGCTTCCATAATAAAACATGAGAGGGGACAAACAAAACTGAACAACAAAAACTTTTGATTTCAAGAGTATGGGGTGAACTTACTTGGATCTTCTTATCCCTCTTTTGTATTTTAAAGAGAATAAAAATTAAGAAAAAAAAACAATAAAAACGATACACAATTTCAAAACAAGATGATAGGAAATTAACAATGGCTGTTATATTGCACACTGTTATCTTCAAAGTAGGCGTTCTGATTGCCAGATACAGGCATGCTTCCTAATGCCATTGCATAAAACCATTGATACAAACAACAACGTGAACAAATGCTGAAAACACCTTGCTGAGAAATCCACACAGAAGAAAATACACACTCTATGGTTGCCATAAAGAAAGAAAATCAGAACAGTAAATTTCGTTTTAGAATGAGAATGAGGTAGGACTTAACAGGAGGGGCATGAGGGAACTTTTTGGAATGGTGGAATTTGTCTCAGTAATGGTTGGATTATGTAAAACTGATCAAATTGTATTCACAAATTTTATGCATTTTACTTTATGTAAAATTTACCTTAGAAAAACCACAGAGAGTGAAGTCTAATTAATTTCAGGCACTGCGAGGTGTTTAAAGGTGAACTATACTGGTAGCCATCAAAAAATAAATACCCAGTAGAAGAGAAGAGAAGCTAGGTAAGTATCAATAAAGTAAAACACTGCATAATGTTAAGTGTTGAATCTAGGTGTGGATTTGCAAGTGGGAATATGATTTCTTTATCTTGTCTGTATTTTCTTAAAACTCTCATGGTAATATACTGGGGGAAAACAAAAACTGAATAGCAAGAACTTCTTCCAAGAAGATGAAGCATTCCCAGTGTCGGGGGAGCCCATGTGTGGGGAGTGGATTTCCATCCCACAGAGAACAACCCTCCCCTACCACTCGGGTGGTGTCAAACCACTTCACACTGGGAACAGGGCCACCCTCCCTATGGTGTCAGTGGAGGCCATGGGAGCTCTGGAAATTCCACCTCTACCCAACAGTCACGAGCCTCCCCATCATGTGTTAAGAGAAGACAAGTGGAAAACTTGGATTTTTAGCTCTCGTCACAGAAGTGACAAGGTGGCACTCACTGCTTCTTTGCTGGAAAAGTGCCCAACAGTGCCCGTGAAAGCAGAAGGTCTCAATAATATTCAGCATCCCATAACATAACACAGTACAGAAAAAGTTCAAGTTTCAATAAAAAAATCACTTGACATACCAAGAACCGTGAAAAATCTCAAGCCAAGTGAACAAAAGATAATCAGTACACACCAACTTCCAAATCCTTATGCATTCTTCCAAATAAGTAGAACAGAATTCCAGCCCGCTGCCTAGTGACCTCTACTCAACTTCAGGGCTTGTCTGGGCAGAGGTGTCCAGATACGACACATCTTCAGTGCAAATGGGGTCTCGTGCCGACTGGTTCTCCCTTAAGCATCCGAACCCTACTTTCAGCAGTAGTGCAACAGACAGAGTTGGTGTGGGCTGGTTTCAAAGCCAAGCACAGGAAAGTCAAATCTCCACTTCTATTCCTGTCTAACTGCTTTCCGTGAGGAAAGGGCAAAGCCAGGGAGGAAGTGAGTGTGTGGTTTCTCCCCTTTACACTGAACTCTCATGCAAGAGCTCAGTTTTGAACAATTTAAGTGTTATGAAATATAAAAGGGCTGACGACTGCAAAGAGAGGCACTAAAGCGTCCGTCGCACATTCATCTCTGTGGCCCCAGCAAACATCGCCTTATTTCCCCATACCGGAGTGGGAACTTCACCTCCCAAATCACACACTGTCGCTGGGTCTCTGACGTACCGTAAGAATTCTGCCTTCCACCTGAACCAATGACGCAAGTCTGGTTTTCTTCTGTAAACAGAAATAAGCAACAAAACCAAAAAATAAATAATTCCCTAGAGGACAGAAGGTGGCAGATGTAGGGCTGCAGAGAGGTGGTTGATGAATGAAAAATGAAAACCTTAGTGTTAAATTTAATAATACGTAAGAAATTAGGTCTCATTGTCTTTATGGTGCATTTATAGCTCCATCTTTATCTCAGCTCTGTAAGGGGCCTGAGCCAGTGGCCACCCCAATATCTGTGGACATTTAGAAACCCCTTTCTCCTTATGGAATGAACCCACTTGTGATTTTATAATTGCCGGGCTGTTACAGTAAACCACACCTATGATGGCCCTGTTGGCCAAACCTCCACCGTATTTCTCTCAAAGCATGAAGTGAAGAGGACAGTCACACGCTTTGAGTACTTAGAAGAGTATTAACTCTCTCCCTTTCTTTGGACACCCAGGATACTGGTGATGCCATTACTACTTCTACAGCTTTTCTTCTGAACTGATTTACCATGAGCATCCATTTGAAACTTCCTATAAGTCCTTTCACCTTGAGCCCAGTGAATTTTGCATTTACACACGGAGAAGGACAAATGACGGGGTATATCCCACAGGAAAGCTGACATTTCCTGACTGTTTTCAGTGTTAGTTTTTGCTCTTCTTTCACATATTAGACTTGTTCATCAGAACTTCCCTTTCACATAAGAGATCTACATTTTTTCAATACAGCATACTCTGAAATACAATCATTAGCTATTCAAATATGGAAATTTCAAATGAAACGGCTCAATCTGTTTTCCTACTAAAACAATCCCACTCTTACCGAGACCTCCCCACACTACCATTAGGTAAGATTTCAGAAAATACATGCATATTTTAGCTTTCATTTAAACAGAAATTCATCAAATACACAGTTTTGGTGCAAATGTGATGACAAGGCCAAACATAAATGAGGCTGAGTATTTATGATATAAAATAAATTATAGCTTTAACTATTCTTCCCTTGGAGAACTGATAATGAAATGACAGGGCTTCTTAGAAAAACTAAATCCACTTCATATGAGAGTCTGTGGTATTTTTACAATATTTAGCATTACATGACATTTCTGATATTCACTTTCCTCCACACATAATTATTTCAGCCACTGAAAAAGTGAGGCACGTGTGCCACAGTATTTCATCTCACAAATTTTGTAGCTGAGAGATGAGATGGAAAAGAACCTCAGCACAAGCCCTCCCAGTAACAATGTGGGGCAGGCTGACATCCACCCAGGGAAGAAAATAGGCGGTAAAGATGCTCTCAACTCTCAGTAGGCTTGAATATTTGATGGTTAATGTGAATACACTTATGAAGCCCAATAACAGCAAAAACAAACAATTCATGTACAGTAAACAATGCTGTAATGAACATCCCCCTGTTCTTAGTGTGTGCACGGAAGAAGTAAAACAAAAACAAGCAAACTAACCTTCCTTTCCTTAAAATATGGTTTCTGGAATTTAAAAAATAATGTATGTATGCATTTGCAAATTATTATGCAGATGTTATATGAAGGTTATCACTATAGATTTTTATTCTACTATGTTTTTTATGTTTCCCTTACAATTCTGTGGCTTCCCCACGAAGGCCACTGAGCGTACGGCAAAGAAACATTAACACATTAACATGCTTAGGGAGCACGTGACTTCCTACATGTGGTCTCTCTCAACTCAAAACAGTGGTTTAGAACGTGAACTTATGGCAGGCAAAGGCAAACAGTTTCTGGGCACAGAACCAAGTAGACAGTAAGGTCAGAGGGCACCGATGCTGGGAGCCACCGCAGTAAGATGGGGTGATGGTTTCTGAAGCATCCAAGGGGCTTTCCCTGTCCTGTCCAAGGAGGTCCAGAGGAGACCTTTACTCTCGCACTAGTCAGAGTTTACACAGGGTTGGGCCAAATCACTTCCTTTCGGGGAATACAATGAATGGCCAGTGGAGAAGAAGAGAGAAAGCACAGAAGAATCAAGTGTGCGGCATCATGGGTGCGCACAGGTTAGAAATCCTGG